TTTGTGTCTGTTAAAACTGAGGCCAAATGACTCCTTATATAGGAGATTAATAACAGAAATTGAAAAGGCACAACTGTTCAAAAATTTCGAACGGGTTCAACTGTCCAGCCAGGGTCTCTGCCCCTTGGAACCCCACGGGGCGCTGTCCCGCACCCCGCCAGAGAACCCCTTTTCAATTATTCACATTCAATCACACGTTGGCTCGACGAGCGTGCACTCCGCACTACCCTAACTCGTTTCCAAGCTTAACGCATAATTACATCGGCCTACAATAAATCACATTACTACTAAAATACATTGATGATACTAAAATCACCAACAAAATTAAGATTACAATTATTATTGAATGGCATAATATCACTCAAATCTTTGTAGATGTCATAACACTTTTATGCTTACATTTGAAATACATTAGTAAAACTTGAGTTGAAACTTAACTTATAAAATAAAGTCCATTATGTAAGTACTACTTCTCATTGATAAGTGATGATAACAAATATGTGTAAGCAAAAAACTCGAAGAGCTTCATGTAAATTATGTTTTAGTCTATCTGCAAGACCATTTTGCCAATGAGGTGTCGACACCTGTGTATTATTGATGATTTCCCATTTACTAATGAAGTTGAAATGTTAGAATTTTTGGGGTCATACATGTAATAAACTAATGTGTTAGGACCATTACTTAACTAGCCAAATTAAAGTGATCTATTTAATATAAGATTTATGGCTAAGGATATAAATTGCGTGAAAAATATTGGGTAGATATCAATAGTCTTATTTCTATTTAGTGATGGGTAAAATTGGAATAAGAAAACTTGAATAATCATGACCATTCATTAAATGGCATGAGAGTATAGATTTTAATAGACATGACTCTTCATGAAATGGCATGTGATTATTATAAATAAGGGGTTATGGTCCCCAAATTGTAGACACAAGAAAATGTTATAGAATATTTATTCTTTTTATCTCATTGAAAGAGGAACTAAGGAATAAGGAATCTACAATTGAAAGACCAGTGCTCTATCAAAATCATCATCTTCTCATTGCTCCATCAAAATCATCATCTTCTCATTGCTCCATCAAAATCATCATCGCCAAAGTGACTCTTCTTTTATTGATTTGATCACGAGAAATGTTGAATGTTAGTGTTATTGTTTATACATGTGAGTATTAATTTTTTCAAAGAAAATGTTAATATTTGACAAATTTATATATACACATGTGATTATAAATATGTGATGATTATAAGGTTTTAGATGTGAATAATAAATCAATCCAATAATATTTTTATTATTTGACATACATTATTGTTAATATTTGATAATTACAACAAAAGTATCATTAGCAATTAATATTATTGTCCAAAGACATTTATATTAATGTTGTATTAGATATCTTGAAATTAATCATGACATTATTTGAACATGTATTATTTGAGTCTATTTATGATTGATTATGTGAGCATATTTATATTATTTAATTTTGTTTTTTTCACAATTAATTTTGCTACTATATCTACTAACATGAATTTAGTCTCGGTTCTTAATGGTGCAAACTTTAAGGACTGGAAGAAGGACATTTTAATTGTTCTTGGCTGCATGGATCTTGACCTTGCATTAAGAATTGAGCAACCTGCTTCTCCTACATAATCCATTACCCCTGAAAAAAGGAAAATTTTTGAGAAGTGTGATCGCTCTAATCGCATGAGTCTTATGATCATAAAGCGCAGCATTTCAGAGGCATTTAGAGGTACTATATTTGAAGAAATAACAAGTGTCAAAGACTTCTTTGCCGAATTTGAAAAGCGCTTAGTTAAAAGTGATAAGGCAGAAACAATCACACTTCTTCAAAGCTTGATTTCTATAAAATATAAAGGTAAAGGAAACATAAGAGAGTACAAAGTGGACAGATTTCTATAGAATATTTATGGACAAACTCCATGATAGCGGACCCTATGACAAAGGGGCTTCCACCTAAGGTCTTTCATGAGGACACTACTTACATGGGTGTTATACAATTAGAGAATTCTTTGGTTTAGTGGGAGTTGGTCATTATTGTTAGTTATGTTCGATGTTTGATAGTATACTCATATATTTGTATTACATTCTGATCAGAAATAAAGTTTGGTTATTCTGTTCATTTCACTTTGTATGATAATGTTGATCTCATTAACGTAAGGAGGACTAGTTGAAAACTAACATGTATTGATCACCTTCATGTGATTTTCATACTACACATTCCATGATTAATCTATGTCATTTAGTTGTATTTATATTTGTGATCATTGATGGGTTTAATTATGATTGATATAACGAAAACTGTTATCGTCCTATATATTGATGTAATTAATGGACAAGATGAAGATATGTCCAGTGTTTATAATGGAATTTTTTTTGAGCTCATAAAGTCTAATGCATTTATAAGGATACATATATGAACAATGGGAGATTGTTAGAACTTTTTCGGGTCATACATGTAATAAATTATTGTGTTATGACCATTATTTAATTAGCCAAATTAAAGTAATTTATTTAATATAAGTTTTATGGCTAAGGATATAATTTTCATGAAAAATATTATGTAGATACCAATAGTCTTATTTCTATTTAGTGATGGGTAAAATGAAAATAAGAAAATTTGAATAATCACGACCCTTCATTAAAAGGCATGAGATTCTAAGCTTTAATAAATATGACTCTTCATAAAAGGGCATGTGATTATTATAAATAAGGGGTTATGGTCCCCAATTGTAGGCACAAGAAAATATTATAGAATATTTATTCTTTTTATCTCATTGAAAGTGGAATTAAGGAATTAAAGAATCTACAATTGTAAAGTCACTGCTCTATCACATTCATCATTTTCTTATTGAAATTATATGAATCCTAAAGGTACGCTTCTGCTTTCTATTTCATCTTGAATTAAGTATGGATTTGTAAAGTCTTGATTATTAGAAAACCAACATGAAAAAGTTATGATTGACAAATTATTTATCATTGCAACTTGCAAGAACGCATTCTTTTTATACATTTCTCAAATTATGTCAATACCATATTAGGCCTTTGTTTTAACTTTAAAAAAAATAGTTTTTTTTAAAATATTATAAGTTTTTCTTTTAAAGTTTTTTAAATTGAAAGACTAGTTTTGACATTTTATAACATAAACATACATTATTGAAGATTAAAATATAGTCAAAATTTCACTTTTTCAAAAATTTATATCTAAGCATAGCAATGGGGTGGGTCGGAGACGGTTTTTACCTCACTCAAACTCAAACCCGAATCCCCAAACAATCCTCGTTCTCCGCCCCAAACCCAAACTGGGATGGAGAATTAAAACTCAAAGTCATCCCAAACGGGTTCGGGTATCTCCATCTCGCCTCCATCCATTTAGTGAAATAATTTTTTTTAAATAAAAATATTTATTTTTTCCAAAATCTAATTACATTACAAATAATAAAATAAAACAATCTAAAAAAATTTCATACATACATTTCAAATATTTTAAATAATAAATACAAAATCAAAATATCAAAATATTGACAACATATTTAATACTCTAAATAATCAAAAATAAATAATTATATATATAATGAAATAAATAGGGTGAATTCGGATCGAATTCAGAGTGGGTACTAGTGTCCATGTTACACAACTCAGTCCCCATGTTTTATAATCAGGGAAAATACAAACTCAAACCCAAACTTAGTCAAAGCAGGTTTTCCCCGTCAACTTTGTGGCGGGTTTGGGTGGGTATCTGCGGGTACGGGTTATGCTGTCATGCCTATTTATATCTCAAAAATGATTTTTATTAAAAATTATTTAAAATAATTTTAAAATTAAGTAATTTTTTAAAATTTTGATATCCAATTTTTTTTTAATAAAATGATAAAATACCTAAAATAACTATTCAAAATAAATTTTCATTTGAAACTCTTATGATATATATATTTTTTAAATACTTACAAATTTATAAATACTCACTATTTACAAATATTCACTATTTACAACACAATTCAGAAATACAACAAATTTTAATTTTAAAAAATTCAATCATTAATTAAACAATTGAGTAAGTAATTCAATTTTGAATAAAATAATTATATATTGGATATTAAATATAAACAAAACTAATTTTTTTTATTCTATTTAATAATACGAGTCCAAAATATTTTTTTGACCTTAAAAAAACACTCTCCCCTAAAAGAAATGTATACATTTAAAAAAAATGAATAAATAAATATAACATTTTTTACAATATTGTTCTATCAACTATTAATTAATATCAATTACTATAAATACATAATAAAATTAAATAACTAAAAAATAAAGCAAATAATATTAATTATTATTATCCATAAATAATAATAATAATAATAATAATAATAATAATAATAATAATAATAATAATTATTATTATTATTATTATTATTATTATTATTATTATTATTATTATTATTATTAAATAAATAAATAAAACCTCACATGATAGCGAAAAGTCACAAACTACATATATCTTAAAACAAAAAATGTCTATATCAAAACTCTTTGCTGTTAGCATTTCATAATTGTAGATACATGTTTTTATATGTAGATATATATATGTTTTTCATAATTGTAGATACATGTTTTTATATGTAGATATATATATATGTTTATTAAGTACTTTGCATTTAATATACCATTCACATGCTTTCAAGAAAAAAGTCAACATCTCATACAAATCTTCTTGATTAATGCTTACAAATTTATAATGGAGAAATATGACACTATTATATGCACATATACACAACAAACACATATATATATATATATATATATATATATATATATATATATATATATATATATATATATATATATATATATATATATATATATATATATATATATATATATATATATATATATATATATATATATATATATATATATATATATATATTGATTATAGAATCAAAATACAAAACACAGGTAAAAAAAAATATTGATTACTGATTTATAGATGAAGTGAAGTATCAACATCTGAGGCATCAAAATTTCTTGATGTTGATGATGATGCACCTTGTGACCATTCCCTCAAAGAAGTGTTTGATTTCATCTTGTTCTTATCACCTTGCTTGTTAGTCAAGTTGAGTCCAAGAGAAAGAGAATCATGGTCATAACTTGACCTAACCATCAACCTTTGTTGTGTGTTTGTGTTGGTCTCTGATGATGACAACAACCTAAGAAGCTGTTTCTCTTCTCTTCTTTCTTTCACTTTCTCCAACTGTCTAAACCTTTCTTGAAGAAGAGCAATGGAAGAGTTCTTCACCATGGTTGAAGTTGAATTTGGATAATCATCTTGCCTACCCATTTGGGAGTAGTGACTAAAGTTTCAATCTTTGAGAAATTTGAGGTGAAAGGAACATTATATTTTTGGTGGGTTTGGAATGTTGTGTTTTGGAACATTATATTATGAAGATCATCATTTGTAGCTGTTGAGCATTATTTTTTAAGTATTTTGGGACCTTCTAATTGATTCTTGATGAAAGCAACATAGATTAGAATCAAGTGATGTTTGACAAAAGGACAAAGGGAAAGTTGTTGAGGTTAGTATAGAGGAAGGAAGGGTAGGATATATGTATGGACAAAGAGACTTTTTGAAGGAGGAAAAGGGTGAGAGGGAAAGGACAAAATGATGATGAAGAAAGTAATTGGAAGAGAGTATTTTGGAGAATAAATGGTTAGGTAATTGCTTATTTGTGCTTGTCACTTTTAGGTCACTATTTTGCTTAGGATGAGATAGTATATATTTGTATTTGTCTTGATGGTATGTTGCTTCTTTTTTTGTTTTTTAAGTTTTTAACTATTCAATGTGTTGTTTATTGCCAATCATGTCCACCGCCAGATCTAGAAATCTAGTTTTGAAAAAATAAAAATACAAAATATATATGATTGCCTTTGATTTGTAAAAAAAAAAATTAGGTCAAAAAGAAAAAAATTATTATATAGGCATAATAGATAGTTAAAGAATAAAAGTACAAAAATATAATTTTTATTATTATTTTAAGACAATTCATTACAATTCAATTGTTAAGTGTATGCAAACATCAAATGCAGAGACGTAGATTCGAATCGTGGCGTTTCATTTATTCGTTGATTTTTTTTATTATTTGACAAAGTAATACAATTTTTTAGTGTTGTTAATGTTATGAAGCTTGGATGGTGAGTGAGGAGAGTCTTGATGTGAGGAAGAGACAAAAGGAATTGGCGAGGAATACTTTTGGAATGTGCCATCAATCATTAATAAGTCATTAATTAGTGTCAATCAAAGAAAAGAAAGAGAAAGAACTCAATGTGTAACTATATGAAATTTGTGCAATTATATTCTTTATCTAGACCAACTATAAATCTTTAAATGGAAAAGATTTTCTTTTGGTGGCTATCACTTTCTCTTTTTTTTTTTATTTAACTTTTTTAATCTTTTAATAAGATTAGAAACTCTGACACACAAAGAGTGAAAGTTAAGATTTGAATAATGGTGTTGGCGTTTAATTCAGCAATATCAACATTAGTACGTAGTTGAATAAGGATTTGCTGACTTTAATAATTTTTTATTATTTTATTATTTATTTTTTATCTTTCTCTATTATATACTAATACACAAAATACAATAAATTTATATTTTAAATGAAGTATTAGTCCTTTCCATTATAACATTTTAAAAAATTTAGTGAGTGTTATTTTTATGATATTACAGCTAAATTAAATTGATTATGTGTTATTGTTAATTATATATATATATATATATATATATATATATATATATATATATATATATATATATATATATATATAAAGCTTTTAAATTGAATGGATTTAGACTACAATCGTGAACATAACATTTTCTTTATAATATTTCAAGTATTCTTGAATGTTTTAGAGTTTCTATGCAGGAATACTCAAGATAATTCAGTCTATACTCAAATTTTTACAAGAGTGATGAAAACTCGAATGTAGGAAAAGAGAATAAGGAATTTTTTTTGAAGAGGTTATGAATTATGTAATGTGATTTCTGAATTCGGAATAACTTATTTATAGGTCATGTTTGTGTTGTTTCACAAAATTGCGACCCTTGATGAAACAACATATTTTACCAATAGTTGTATCATTTCACCTATAGCAACATTTTTCAATAGTTGCAATTTTCCATTCAGCAACACTTCACGAAGTGTTGCATATTTTCAAATTCAAAATCAAACTCAAACAACGATAAAATAAAACAAGAGCAACAAACATTTACCATTCGGTCGGCCGCCATTCGTTGAAACGCCACCGACACCGTCATATAACGTCGCGAGATGCATGATTGCTCCGATGCATCATGCATAAGTGCTCAAGTGTCACTTACAAGCCGCCACTAGCACCTCAACGCCCACGCCCCCGGACCCGGTCTCGGAGCCTGTAATACCCCATATTTTCCTTAAATGCTTTAAATGTCATCAGTTGGGACGAATAGAGTAACTAGTGGACTCTGAAAAGATAATTAATTGATAAAAAAGACAAACCAATATTAATAAGTATAAGAGAGGATATCTTGGTATACTCTAATATTTGGTCAATAGGTATCAAATGAAGAAATATCAGTTGGAAATATTTTATACCATTGTATAATATTATATAATATGTTTATTATATATGTGGTGAATGAGAAAGAAGAAAGTTGGTAAGAAGAGAGAAAGAAGAAAAGAGGAAGAGAAGAGAAAAAGAGGAGAAACTCATGGAAGAGGAAGAAGAGGAATTCATCATCGTCAATCCATCTCATTATCTTCATCTCCAAGGTGAGTTGCATTAGGTAGTATAGCTTTTAGGAGAAAGTTGGAGAATATTGGAAGGATTAGGATTTGTGTGAAAATATGATTAAATGTGAATTTGATGTTGATACATGTTGTTTTGATGAATTCCATGTTAAAAATCATGTTATACCATGTTTGTTGGAATGTTTGAATGTGTTTTGGTGGTGTGGGTTAAGGATTTGGCCATGGTTGCTTTCACTTTCACGCTGTTGGGATTCTGAGTTTCGCATGGATCGCACAACGAGCTTCCAACGAACTAGCATCGAGCGAGACAGTCTTCTATGCTCGCACAGCAAGCCTCCGGCGAGGTGAAGGTGAGACCTCGCCTAGAGGTCACTCAACGACCATTGAGACTTTTTGCTACTGCCTCCAAAACCCTATGTCTCGCTCAGAGCTCGCACAATGAACTCAAAGCGAGGCGACCTCGCCCAGAGATCGCATAGTGAGCCTAGCAGTTTTGTCCCCTTTTGGTTGTTTACTTGTTTGGTTGCTTCTTATGCATGACTTATGATGTTATGGATTGTCTCACATGATTATTTAGGATTGTTATGCATGTTTACCATGAATAATTAGTTGATATATATGATGATAAATATATGAAAAGTGAAGGAGAACATTTAGTGTTGTGGTGACCACCACGAGGATTGGTTGATAATTGGTGAGAGGCTTAGCTCCAAAAGACCTAACTATTTATGTGATCACAAACTAAACAAGAACGTCGGTAGAGGAATGTTAATTTTATGCCTTACGTGAGATATTTATGCGTGATGTATTATGTTATGCTATTATGCTTGTTATGCTATATATGTATGTTAATCGAATGTTTGTTTTGTGATAACATGCTTAAAAGACTTTAAGAATGGTGAGGAAACCCTTAATATTAATTAATGAAATAAATTAGTAAGATGATTAGGTCATGATAAATAACATAGATGACAATGCTTGTGCAAGGATGCCTAGGTGTGTATCATTGGTAAGTAATTGTCTAGGTGTGATGAGAGCTTTGTATGGAACATGTATGGTTTATGTTGTTTATGGTTAAGACGAATGTGATGCCTTGCGATTGTCGAATACAATCACGCTATCCTTAGGGATTACATAAGTGAATGGAGCCTACGAGTAAAGAGACTTGTGATGGGGGAAAGCTCATGAGAAATGACGATTCATAAGGTCGATTATATGTCCCTTAGAATTCGAATCCATTTGATGTTATGTTATGCTTTATCACATAGTCGAAAATAATCCCTTGAGATGTGTCGTTCCAAAAGTTGAGGCTTACATAGAGAGCTCCTCTAGAATGTGCGCATTATTACTTTGACGGGTTTGATTCTCGTGTGTACGAATGGAGCCTACTAGTAAAGAGACTTGTGATGGAGTACCACCCATGAGAAGTGACGATTCATATGGATTATGTTACCATTGAATCCGAACCCATTTCGTACTTCAAAGTTTACAAGGATCCGTGACCCACGTAGATAACTCTAGACGTAGGGTTGTTCGGGGAAAAATGCAATTATATGGTTTTCGACTAGTGATTGTTTGAGTTGGTGAACTCAAGAGACACGTTTCTATATATTGCGAACTGTGTGAACTCAAGTCTTATCCCTTTCCCTTTTGACTTGAGATAAAAATTGATTAGAATTCTATAGAGCCGAGTGAATCCATAAGATAGGGGAACTCACTGAGATTATCATCTCACTCCATTATTATTATTGTTGTTGTTTAGGTATTGTTTGCAGGTTTAATTTACAAGTGGAGCTATGTTTGGGTGTTTCAAGGGAAACTTAGATTATGTTTTCTGTTGTGTATTGCTTACCTTGCATCTTGTAAAATGAAGGATATTGTACCTTGATCTTAGTTTTGTTGTTTTGACACTTTCCATATCTTGTACCATACGTTGTCTTTTATGTTTAGCAATGATCAAGTATGTCAATTATGCTAATTGGCACTTATGATGGTGTCAGTACCAAATAATAACTGTTGTATGGTATTATTCTAGATATATATATATATATATATATATTATACAGGGCATTACACTTGGTATCAGAGCAGTTCGCATCCTCGACCTAGCTTTGAAACATCATAAGTAAATATATTCCTGCCTCATAAGTGTGTCTTGCCAACATGGTTCTTAATATCATATTATGTAGTATTGGGCCATATCAACCGAATGTTATGTATGTGGTAGGTAGGATCATGGTTGAGCGACCACGAGGACTCCGAAGTGTTATTGAAACTTGTGTTGTGAGGATATACTCAAGCTATGAGTTAGAAGTAGGGAGAACTGGTCAGCTCAGTTGAGGTCTTAGTAGATGTTTTGCTTCTGGTAACATGATAGCGCTCTGGCATTAACTGATATCAAAACATTCATCGAACCACTATGCACCATCGTCAAATAATTCTCCTTATTGTTCCTTCTACGTTGTTGTTTACTGACGACCGACCAATGACCTTCACCTTACTACCACCTTGAATACCATTGGACTTCGCATTATTTACTCCCTCCTAGACACCATTTCCATCCTTAGCTACATGACTTACTTTCTCCTAACAATCTTCCACCAAATTTTCCACAATTGACACATATCAAATGTAACCCTTTATATATTACCTTATAAACTCTATCTCTAATTGTGAACATAACAAGTAGTGCTTTTGATAAATCAACCTCCACGCACAATCTCACATACTTGCCACATTTATGAAGAAGAGTGTTCTTATCCGCCTTTACCGTTCTACCAATGAATGTAAGAACTTTTGGTAAGGTGAAGGGTGCCACTTTAATTCATGTCGTTCGCTTTCTAAACATTTTTGTCATTCATGTCAGTTGGGTAAACATACAAAACTACCATTTTCTTTATCTACTTCTTCTACATGTTATCCTTTTGATATGGTCCACGGTGATTTATGGACCTCACCTGTTGTTAGCACTATGGGTCATCGTTTTTATGTGTTATTTCTTGACGATTTTACAAACTTTCTTTGGACTTTTCCCATCAAACACAAGTCAAAAGTTTTTAATATTTTCACTAAATTTCACACGTTTATTACAACCCAATTTAGTTGCCCTATTAAAAATCTTCAATGTGACAACGGTCGTGAGTATGATAATTCACCATTTCACGAATTTTTCGAAAAACACGGCATGACGTTTAGATTTTCCTGTTCTCACACCTCCCCACAAAATGGAAAAGCCGAACGTAAAATTAGAACACTCAACAACACGATAAGAACCCTCTTGCTTCACGCCAACGTCCCCCCTCAAAATGGTACTACGTCCTCTCTATGGCAACCTATTTACACAATATCCTTCCCAGTAAGTCAAACAAATTTGTGCCTCCCACTTCTTTCCTCTACCTCCGATACCCGGATTAAAATTCACTAAAAATCTTTGGTTGTCTATGCTATCCTCACCTTCCGTCATCAACAACTCACAAACTCGATGCACGTTCCACTCCCTGTGTCTTCCTCGGCTATCTGTCACATCATCGTGGCTTCCTCCGTCTCGATATATCCTCACATAAGATTATCATGGCCCGTCATGTAACCTTCAATGAATCAATCTTTCCCTTATCACATGAACCCCCAACACCAGCCTCTTCTTACTTCTTTTTAGACAGCGACCCATCCCCGTATATGACACACATTATCAACTTTCCGCTTGCATATAACGACCAAACAATACCAACTCCTATTTCACCTACTATATCACCCACTACTTCTCCTATGGCTCAATAGGTAACCACACCCGAACCCACACATCAAACTGTGGCCGCATCATCTGTCCCCTCTCCCCCAATGTAGGACTTTAGAATCTTCTTAATAATCCATTAAAGCATGATATTGATCATCTTTATTATAAAAAGTCACAAGAAAATAGTCGTTACCCAGATCTATAATATTGACAACTCCATTCCTCATCCACATCTATTTCAAACGAGTTTCCAAAGCCTTATCTCCAATCTTCATACCAAGAAGTTTAACAATAACTCCTAATTTTCATGGTTTGCCTATTCTTTCTCTTCTTTGCCCGAAAGTATGAAAATTGGACATTCATATTGACCAATCTTCCTTTCTTCTACCAACATACACTTTCCCTCACTATCCCTTGAGATATTTTCTATTTCTTCATCAGTCAAAATAACAGTCGTAATACCATTATTTTGCTCGTCTCCATTAGAACTCCCCGTCATTGAATCCTTATAGGACATTTTAGGTGCAAGAATTTTTGGATAATTCTTCTCCATTGCAACCATGTCTTCATACACCAAATGCATGCTCGAGTCTTACTTGAAACTTTTATCACTGCCTTTAACTTTTTTAAAGTTATGCTCCAAAAGTTCTCGCTCATCTTACAATATTTTATATTTTTCATCCATAAACCCTAATAGCGGATTTTCAACCATACAAACCCTAAAGCTTTCATTATTGTCTTCCAATTTGATTGTTATGCCAATACATAAATATGTATTCTTATAATTTCAGCTATAAGAATTCTAACAACCGTGATGAAACCCTAACGCTTTCATTATTGTCTTCCAATTTGATTGTTATGCCAATACATAAATATGTATTCTTATAATTTCAGCTATAAGAATTCTAACAACCGTGATGAAATAGTGGCTTTCAGCCATACAAACCCTAACACTAACAGTTTTATTTTGTTTATTTATTTATTTTTAAGCCACTTTTCACCACGGTTGGAATTCCAACCGTGGTGAAAAGTGGCGCATTCCTATTTTTTAAAAATGAAAAATAAATTATGTTTCCAAGATATACAACATTATTATCCTCTAAGCCAAACTCAAAACAACATTTCTTTCATAAACGAAACTTGAAAACATTATTTCTTTCATTAACAAGTTCCATCATCTCTTCTCCAACTTGAACGAGGCAAGAAAAACATGGATTCAAGTTAGTAATGTTAGTTGTTGTTGTGTCAAATAAAATGTTTAATGTTGTTGTTATTGTTATTGTTGAGATTTAATGTTTAACAATTTTATTGATTTTGTTTTTGTTGTCGTTGTTGTTATTGTTATTGTTGGTGTTGTTGTTGTTTTCTTCTTGTCATTTTTATTTTTGTTGTTGTTGTTGCTATTGAGATTCAAAGTTTAACGATATTATTGATTTAGGTTTTGTTCTTGTTCTTGTTGAGATCTAATGTGAACGATTCTATTGATTTTGTTTGTTTGTTGTTCTTGTTGTTGAGATTTAATGTTTAACGATTCTATTGATTTTATTTTGTTGTTGTTGAGATTTAATATTTAATAATTCTATTGTTATTGATGTTGTTGTTGTTGTTGTTCTTGTTCTTGTTCTTGTTGTTCTTGTTTTTGTTGTTGTTCTTGTTTTTGTTGTTGCCGTCGTCGTCGTTGTTATTATTGTCATCATTGCCTTCGTCGTCGTCGTTGTTGTCATTGTTGTTGTTGTTATTATTGTCTTCGTCATCTTGTTGTCGTTGTTGCTGTCGTCGTCGTTGTTGTTATTATTGTCGTCGTCATCTTGTTGTTGTTGTTGTCATCATTGTTGTTGTTGTTGTTCTCTTCGTTGTTGTTGTCGTGCTTTTTCTTGTTCTTGTCGTTCTCGTTCTTGCTCTTATTGTTCTTGTTGTTGTTGTCGTCATCATTGTTGTTGTTGTTGTTCTCTTCGTTGTTGTTGTGCTTTTTCTCGTTCTTGCTCTTATTATTCTTGTTGTTATTGTAGTAGTAGTGGTTGTATTAGAAACATTTAATATTCTATAATGTGATAAAAAATTTCAATGTGGCCACCTCAAAACATATGGAAAATTGAAAAATTGGACTTACTGAATTTTCACCATGGTTGGTTCCAGTAAAATATCTGGAATTATGTTAGTTTTATAATTGTGGAGAAATCCAGTAAAATATCTCAAATTATGTTAGTTTTATAATTGTGGAGAAATCCAGTAAAATATCTCAAATTATGTTAGTTTTATAATTTGTTTATATGCTCATTTTCAATCTAATTGCTTATTTGGAAGAAAAAAATCTTTTGTGTTGGATATGATCTCAATGATAAAATTATATCAATAGAATTTAATATTATTGTGTGCTAAGAGTCTAGTTCAAATATAGAACCTCTGAATAAATTAAAAGAGATTACTATCTCATTCAAATGTTATTGATTCAAATTTTGCATTATCTTTTAAATATTGATTCAAGAAAATTTATTTGCATTATCTTTTAAAATGTAATTTATATTGATAGATATCAAAAAAAAAAAAATTGGGAAAACATAATAACTAATTACATAGTCAATCGCTAAGCAATCCAATTGTAACAAAAAGAAAAAACAAATTTTTGAAAACAACATTCAAGAGCATTTGGATGATATCATTTGAATATCTTCCACCTTAATCAAAGTTTTAAATCAACTTTGCCCTTCAATTTCATGGCAACATAGGGAAAAAACAAAACTTTGATTCCATGGTTAATCAAAATTTTGATTGCAAAATTAGGTTTGGTTAATAAGTATGCTAGATTGGGTGATATGGTTTTAGCTAGAGGTATTTTTCATTGCATGGTTCATCATGATTTAGAGGCTTGGAATCTGTGATTAATGGGTAATGCTAGTAATGGTGATGTTGAGTTGGCGTTGATGGTGTTTGATGAAATGTCTAGCAGGGATGCTTTTACTTGGATTGCTTTGGTTGATGAGTTGTGTAAATGTGGTAAGATTGAGGTTTCTAGAGAGATATTTGATCAAATGCCTGATAAGAGTTTGGTTTCTTGGAATGTTATGATTAATGGGGATATGAAGTCTGGTAAAATTGATTTGGCGAATGCGTTGTTTGTCTTTATCTCTGCAAGGAGTTTGATAAGTTGGAAGATGGATTCATTCGTTTATGGTTAAGAATTGGTTTGAGTTAGATGGTATGCTTGGCACTTCAATGATAGAAATGTATTCTAAGCATGGCAGTGGCTGTTTACAAAGCAATAACCAACAAGAAATTGGGGGATTGAACGGGTATAATTGTGGGCTTAGGAATGCATAGTTTGGCTAATGAAGCTCTTGAGTTTTTTACAGAAATGTGCAGAATTGGAATGAAACCTCATGCTATAATTTTTATAGATGTGTTGAATGCTTGTAGTCATGCAGGTTTGGTATGATGAGGGAAACCAAAATTTTCAATGATGATAAATGAGTATAAAATTGAGTTTGCATGGTAGTCCTAGGATTAATAGAAACTTGGGAATTGGTGAAAGGAAGGGTGTAGTGCTAAAAGGATGGGTGGTATAGGTTATGGGAAATTAAATAAAAACATGACTAACACAGTCCAATCAACATACATGCACATGAGTTTGATAAAAACATATTTCTTTGGATCCATATTTCTAACATATAATCAGCCACATACAGGTTCTTCTGCTAGAGTAATTACATTGATGAAAATGGGAGTTAAACACAACAGAAATGAAAATGGGAGCAGAAAATTGCAGCTGAAGAGACAACATTCTTATTGTCCGGGGACAAAGTTAGTAGCAAAAGCCCATGCGTTGTTGGCCACAGGGTCAGCAACATGGTCATAAAGGTTCTGAATAGGGCCCTTGCCGGTAACAATGGCTTGAACAAAGAAACCAAACATGGAGAACATAGCCAACCGACCGTTCTTGAGTTCCTTGACCTTCAACTCAGCAAATGAATCGGGGTCATCAGCAAGACCAAGAGGGTCAAAAGCACCACCAGGGTAAAGTGGGTCTAGTCCTTCGCCAAGGGGTCCTCCTCCAACTCTGTAGCCTTCAACAAATCCCATGAGCACAACCTGAGTAGCCCAGATTGCAAGAATGCTCTGAGCATGAATCAGATTTGGGTTGCCCAAATAGTCAAGGCCGCCCTCAGCAAAGATCTGGGAACCGGCTTTGAACCACACTGCCTCGCCGAATTTAACACCGTTCTTTTCAAGGAGTTCAGGGAAGGTACAACCCAATGCACCAAGCATAGCCCATCTGCTGTGAATTACTTCAAGCTCACGGTTCCTTGCAAATGTTTCAGGGTCAGCTGATAATCCAGCTGTGTCCCATCCATAGTCACCAGGAAATTCACCAGTAAGGTATGATGGAATTTGTTCAGAGAATGGACCCAAGTACTTGGGACGGTCAGGACCATACCTAGTTTTCACAACAGATAGCACCAAGTCAAATATAGAAACAAATTATCACAACTTTCAAATATCACCCATTAGCTCTATACTACTGGACCCTCTGAAAAAAGGCACACTTGTGATTAGTGTTCAATTTATTCATTTTTTAAAATTATTGCCAGTTTCAACGTACTGGGTTGATTTCATGTCTGTGTTTCATAGGTCATTACCATTTTATGTAATATATTACACTACACTTCCATAATCATTGGCTTTTGGGTCTGATGCATCTAGCTAAGAACTAGTTATGATGTTTCTAAGAGACACGATGAGATAAAGGAATGTTAAAAAACAGAACTTTATGTATTTTAACATGCAAAAGCTAGATTTTGACTGTGACTGAACTACTTACCAAATGCTTTCGGGAGCACTCTTCACAGTACGACGCATAGTGATGCGACCTTGGCCAAAGTTACCAGCTTTCCTGATGAATTCATTTCCCTGCCTCAAACCAGTCTTACCAGTGAAAGCTGATTGTTGGATAGCAGAGGTGGCCATGAGGGCGTTGGGACTGCTTGCACTTTGATTTTGTTCTCTTTGATGCTACTAGCTAGTGTTGCTGTGAAGAGTGAAGATATGCTACAAAGGTTTATAGAAGTATTGGGAGTGGCTAGTGTGGAAATATTAGATATTGTGGATTAGGATATGCACAAGTCAGCAACATCTTATTGGTGGTGAATTTGTATATGGATTTCTAAGGTGATATATTGTATTGATATTGTGGCTCTCTTTGTGCCATGTGGATGCAGTGATCTGGTGGCTTAGATGTTTTGAAGAGGATGAATGTGAGCCAAGGAAATTAGGTCCACCAAATTTGATAGGGAAAAATGAAATTTGGAAGAAGTTTGCATTAAGGGTGACAATTAAATCCATGAAGCTAAAGTTCATTTAACTCATCCACTAAATTATCTATCAAATTCCTTTATTGTTCAAAATAGTTAATGTAATTTATCTATTTAAATTATTGATAAATTCAATCCGGCTAACAAATTTTAAAAATCTCTTACTTTTGATTTTTTTTTTTATTTATATAAAAGACAAGACAAATTTTAGATTTATTGAATAATCAATGTATCTAATCTATAAATTGATCAAATATATTGGTTATTCAATAAACTTAAAAATGAAATTGTCTCTTATATAAAGAAACTGTTGTGAATCGGATACCTTAAAACTAAGTATAAACAGTTTCTTAATGATCAATAAACACACAAGGGTTAGGGTTAATAAAGAAAAACAACAAGGATTAGTTATTAAGCTGCTATTCTTTCATTTCTCTTAGAAAAAGATTACAATTATACAAGAATAACAAAATAACCTCTCTCTCTCTCTCTCTCTCTCTCTCTCTCTCTCTCTCTCTCTCTCTTAAAATTAGGATTTTATCTTCTTATTTTTCTTTATGACAAGATTGAGAAACTAGTATCATATTTATAAGAAAAAATAACACACTAACCTAATGGACTTTTTAACAATTATCCATTACAAACTAACTTAGGGTACAAACTAACTTAAACAATTGGGCTTACAAGTAAGGCCCAATTCAACATGCTAACAACCCTAGCAATATTGACTAATGCATGTTAGAACAAACTTCGACTACAACACGCATTACTCGCGAACAGACTTCGACCATACTAGAGTTTGATCCAATATCTCACAAATCTCCACCTTAGATCTAACTCTATAACTCAAGAAACTAGCTTTCTTCATGCAGCTTTATTAACTGCATACAGTGGAAACACTTGCAACTGGACAACGTCTTAGTGATCACATTAGCAACATTATGATATGTCGAAACCTTCGGCACTTGGACTTCTCCACGCTCAATTACCCCTCTGATGAAATGCAGCCTCACATCAATGTGCTTGGTTTGCTCATGATAGGCTTAATTCTTCGACAGGTGTATTGCACTTTGACTATCACATTTAACAGTGATAACTTGACCTTGAAGTTTTAGCTCCTTTGCAAAACCGTCAAGCCACAATGCTTCTTTCACAGCTTCAGTTAGGGCAATATACTCCGATTTAGTGGTTGATAAGGCAACGATCTTCTGAAGTATTGCTTTCCAACTGATTGTTGTCCCAAACATAGTGAACACATATCCAGAGATAGATTTTCTAGAATCCATACAACCTACATAGTCAGAGTCGACATATCCTTCGATTGTTGCTTTACTATCTTCGCCCAAGGATCCACCATAAATTAGGACTCTATTCAGAGACTCATTTATGTACCTTAAAATCCACTTCAATGCTTGCCAGTGAGCCTTTTCAGGATTCGCCATGTACCTGCTTACAAGACTTATTGCATATGCTATGTCGGGTCTAGTACATATCATAGCATACATCAAAGAACCTACTATGTTAGCATATGGAATGCTATTCATATAAGTTCTTTCAACATCAGTGCTAGGACACTGATCTATACTCAGCTTGAATTGAGGATTTGTCGAAGTCACAATAGGCTTTTAATTCGACATATCAAACTTTTCGAGAACCTCCTGTAGGTATGCCTCTTGAGATAAGCATAATTTCGACTGCTTTCTATCTCTCCGGATGTCAATCCCAAGAATCTTGGACGCAGCTCCCAGATCCTTCGTGTCAAACTCTTTATTGAATTCAGCCTTCACCCTCATTACCTCTTCGACATTGTTGCTTGGTATTAGATTATCATCCACATGGAGCAACAAAATAACAAATGAATTACCCGGTCGAAATCTGAAGTAAACACAGTGGTCGAACTGACTTCTGCTGAAACGTATGTGTGTCATGAACTTGTCGAATCTCTTATTCCATTGTCGAGGAGATTGTTTCAGTCCATATAAAGATCTATTCAGTTTGCACACATAATCTTCCTTCCCCTTTCAACATACCCTTCAGGTTTCCTCATCAGGATTGTTTCATCTAGATCACCATACAAGAATGTAGTCTTCACATCCATCTGTTCCAGTTCAAGGTCGAACTGGGCCACCACGGCAAGAAACATTCGAGTGGATCTGTATTTCACAACAGAAGAGAACACATCATTAAAATTGATACCTTCTTTCTGAGTGAACCCCCTAGCAACCAATCTTCCCTTGTATCTCTTCGACGCCACTCCTTTGATTCTTTCCTTAACTTTGAAAATCCATTTACAGTTGACTAACCTGACTCCATTAGGTTTCTTGATCAGTTCCCCAGTGTTGTTATCATGAAGAGATTTCATCTTATCATCCATGGCCTTCAGTCATTCAGTCTTTTTTCGACTCCTCATAACTTCCTTATAGTCTTTAGGTTCTTCGTCTAGAACCTCACTTGCAGATATTAAGGCATAAGCTATAAGATCTGCATACCCAAGTCTCTGAGGTGGCTTAATGAATCTCCTTGACCTGTCTCTTGCTAGCAGGTAGTCATTATTAGTCTCCTCATCTTCGACAACATCTTTTGCGTCTTCTTTGACTTCAATTGGGGTACGCAATTCAACATCAACATGCTCCACCTTAACAGGAATCTCTCTTTGTTCCAGTTCTTCGTCAACATCATCAGTTTTCTTAAAAGCCATCTCTGCTTCATTGAAAACTACATCTCGACTGGTGACACACCTCTTATGACCTGACTCTAGGCACTATAGCCTATAAGCTTTGACTTCTTCAGGGTATCCCATGAACATGCATTTAGAGCTCTAGGTTCGACCTTGTCTTGCCTAATATGAGCATAGGCCACACATCCAAGTATTCTCAGTCTGTCGAGATTAAGGGGATGTCCCGACCAAACTTCTTCAGGTGTCTTCATTCCCAAGGCAGTTGAGGGACATCTATTTATCAAGTAAGCTGTTGTCGAAACAGCTTCCGCCCAAAACACCTTCTTCAATCCAGCATTAACCAACATACATCTAACTCTTTCAAGGATTGCTCGATTGAATCTCTCAGCTAAGTCATTTTGTTGAGGAGTACCTGTTACAGTCTTATGCCTTGCAATCCCATACTCAACACAGTAACTGTTGAACACTTTGTTGCAGAGTTCAAGGTCATTGTCGATTCTCAACCTCTTAACTTTTCTGTTAGTTTAAGTTTCGACCAGAATCTTCCAACTTTTGAAATTCTCAAAAGTTTCATCCTTCGTCTTCTGAATGAATACCCATAACTTTCTGGAATAGTCATCAACGATGGATAGAAAATACCTTACACCTGAGTGTGAAGGATTCCTTGCAGCCCCCCAAAGATCAGCATGAATGTAATCCAGGGATCCATGTGTTCTTTGCTTGTCTTTGTTAAACTTCGCCCTACAGGATTTACCAAATACACAAGATTCACAAAATTCCAACTTTTCGACTTTGTCACCTCCTAGCAAGTTCTGCTTCCCCAATTCGACCAGGCCTCTTTTGCTGAAATGGCCCAATCTCATATGCCATAATTTTGTCTTCGACATAGATTTCGTGGATGCAACATTTGTCGAACCACTTACAACCTCAGCCTCAAGAGTATACAAGCCTTGTTTCTTCACGCCTCTCAAGACTTCCTTCGACCCTTTCATGACTCTTAGGATACTTTTCTCTCCTTGAAAAACGTATCCCTTTCTGTCGAATTCACCAAGAGAAATCAAATTTCTCTTCAAGTCAGGTACGTATCTTACTTCAGTCAATAACCTTATTGACTTATCATGAAGCTTGAATTTCACAGATTAAATACCTGCAATTTTGCAAGATTTGTTGTTTCTTAGAAGCACAGATCCACCATCTTGATCACATAGCTCTTCGAATAATTCTCTGTTTGTAGTCATGTGCCAAGTGCAACCTGAATCCATAATCCACTCTTTTCTCGAGTCGCCACTTGAAACCATAAGAACATCAGATGAGTCAAAGTCATCCTGAACAATGGTTTCATTGCCATTATCTCCATGATCTTTCAGGCGTTCAAGGCACACCTTTCTTATGTGACCCTCCTTCTTACAGTGATAACATTGAATGTTAGATGTTTCGCCAATATAAGACTTATGTTGACTTTTACCTTTCTTCTTATCGAACTTACCATCCTTTCGCAAGAATTTTCCCTTAATGGCCAAACCTTCGCCCACCGTCGAAGGTTTATGCTCCTTTCATTCGTTCAAATCGTTAGAATACAAGGCTGATTGAACTTCTTCAAAGGTCAGGGACTCCTTTCCATACAAAAGAGTTTCTTTGAAGTGAGCATGTGTTATGAGCAAAGCACACAACAACAACAGTGCTTGATCTTCATCATCTATCTTCACATCAATATTTTCAAGATCAAGAATCAGCTTGTTGAACATATCCAACTGCTCAGCCAACACTTTGTCGTCACTCATCTTGAATGAATATAAAGCTTGCTTCAGGTAGATTCGATTCACCAAATATTTGGTCATGTACAAACTTTCAAGTTTCACCCATAATCCCGATGTTGTAGTCTCCTTTGATACATGTCGAAGAACCTTATCACCAAGACTCAACAATATTGCGCTATGGGTTTTCTCGATCATGTCCGTCTTTTCTTTTGTCGTTAACGCAACGTCTATGGCTACCTGTCATACCCTAAATTTGCCCGCCAGCTTTTGTAAATATTTTCGTATTTTCCATTTTTGCTTTTTTTATTTAATTTCATGTCGTTTAGACACGTGTTCGCCCCCGATTGAGCGTTTTTCAAATCTCGAATATTTTTGCCCAATAGGAGCGTGACACATGGCAAAAGGGCATTTTTGTAAATTTTAATTCCATGTTTATTTTTCTCATTTCCTTGCAAATATTACCTTTATGTTCTTATTTTTATTTTATCATTTATTTAATTTAATTAGATTTTTATTATATTTTTTAGATTTAAAATAGTTATTTATTTTTTCTTTTAGAATATATTTTATTTTAATAGTTTTTAAATAGTTTTTTTTTATAAGTTGTTTAGAGTTGTATATTAAATAAGTTTTTATTGATATTAGGATTTATTTGTAAATAATTTTTGTTTAATAGATTTTTAGAATTAATTAGAGTTATTTAAGGTTATTAATTTATTCAACTATTTATTATTTTATTAGATTATTTAGTTTAATTAAAATAGATTATTTAATTAGGATTAATTGTTATTAATTATTATTCGTCTTTAGTTTGGAATATCATTTTGTTTAATTTAGTTAGATTAGATTAACTAGGATTAATTAGGAATAGTTTATGTTTATTATTAATTTTGGTTATTTAATTAGGATTTTATTTATTAGCTTTTAATCAATTTTAATTGGTTTCTATTTTAATTATCGTAAAACCAGTCTTTCTTTCATCATCAGTTTTTTTTTCTCACTAATCATCATTATCATTAATCAGCCATCATCTAATCATTCATTAAACCGCTGCCATGTGTCTGTATATAAACCCTCCACTCACTATTCATCACCTCTCACATTTTTGCAACCCTAGCCTCCAAACCCTAACCAGCTGTCTCCTTCCTCCTTCATCAGTTCATCACCATGAAACCTCTTTTTCCAATGGCATTATCAATATCACCCATCACCGTCTCCATCATCACTCTCTTCCTCCTCTTCCATCCAGCCACTTCTCAAAACAATGAAATTCTCAAATCAACAACACAAACACAAAACGACTGTGAAAACCGTTGGATCCACATAAGAAAACTACCTTCAATCTTCAACCTAGATCTCCTCTCAAATTGTTCCGAATACACATTCCTAGACGATTTATGTCCTTTCTTAGCAAACCATGGTTTGGGTCAAAAAACCCATAACCGTTCTCATAGTTGGTACCGAACCGACCCGTCCATGCTTGAACTCATTTTCCATCGCCGTATGTTGGAGTATCCATGTTTAACGGAAGATCCGAATACCGCTAACGCCGTTTATCTTCCTTACTACGCTGGTTTCGACGCTCTCCGTTATCTTTACGGTCCTGAATATAACTCCAGCGAAGAACACGGTGTTCAGCTTTTTCATTTTCTTCAAAACGATGACCCTTCCATATGGAACCGTTTTTCGGGTCACGATCATTTTCTGGTTATGGCCCGACCCGCTTGGGATTTTTGTCAGCCGTTGGATACGGATCCTCGTCTATGGGGAACTTCGTTCCTCGAGTTACCGCAGTTTTTCAATGTAACGGCTTTGACTCTCGAGGCTCGTGCTTGGCCGTGGCAAGAACACGCTGTTCCTTTTCCGACGTCTTTTCATCCGCCGAATCTCGCTTTGTTGGATTCGTGGATTCAACGCGTTCGTCGGACGAAGAGGTATTCTCTTGCTCTTTTTGCCGGCGGTGGAGGTTACTCTTCGACGCCGAATATCCGGCGGAGTATAAGGATTGAATGCTCTGACAACAATGAATAGTCAAGGAGGGACGAGTCAACGTTTTTTATTATTTATTATTATTATTTATTTATTTTTTTAAAATTTATTTTATCCTGTTAGTTTTGATTTGGGCCAAAACCCGCTGCCCATTTCAAGTTGCTTACTAAACCCTCCTGTTCCATTCTGACCCTCTTCTTGTTTTCATATTATTGTTATTGTTTTATTTGAAATCTTGTAAATATTTTAAAAAAATAATTTTCCAAATTGCAAATAAGTTATATATTTTATATTAGTTTTATTTTTATATTTTATGTTTCTAACTTTTTCTTTAGAGTATATTATATATATTATATTTTCTTTTAGATTTTTTAGATTATTTTTTATAATATCTTTAATATTAAATTTTTAGAAGTTGAATTTTGTTTCTCATTTATCATTGGGCATTTTCTCCCATTTTTATCCGTTTTGGGTCGATGACGAGACCTCCGTAATTCATTACCAGTCAAATTATTGATAGGTAATGTTGGATCTGAGACCACCCCTTTTCTCTCTTCATTATTTGTCCTGACTCGATTCAAAAACTTTGTCAAACAGTTTTCAAAATCAAATCATCTTCGTATTGAGTTAAAAGAGGGGATTAAGTGTAGACTTTCTTCCTCTCCGAGTGTTGGGATGCCCACTGTAGTGAGGGTGGTTCCGACACTCGTCTTTCAATACGAAGACGCTTCCCGTCCATCTTCAAATCTCATCTCCTTAAAATCGATTCTTTGTGTTGAGCTAAAGAGAGGATTGGGTGTAGACCTCTTCTTCTCCGAGCATAGGGATGCCCACTGTAGTGAGGGCGATCTCGACGTTCGTCTGTCAATACAAAGACGCTTCCGACATCTCCTCGTAAAAACCTCGGTCTCGTACCGAGTCCTTTTTCAAACCATAATAATTTGATTTCTCTTTGTACCGAATTAAAAGAGGGGATTAAGTGTAGACTTTCTTCCTCTCCGAGTGTTGGGACGCCCACTGTAGTGAGGGTGGTCTCGATACTCGTATTTCGATACGAAGACGTAACTTTATCCATCACATATCTCTTTATCCACCATCTCGCTTCCACATTCCTTCCGTAACCCTTTTCACCTAAAACCTCGGTCCTGTACCGAGTGCATTTTCAAATTCCTTTCATACAAAGACTTGAATGGTCGTGGAGTGGTTAGGCGTAGGCCTTCTCCTATCCCGAGTGTTGACGTTTACCGTAGGGTTCTCCGTCGCAAAGCACTTACCATTCAAAACCAAAAACACTTTAATAAGAGAATGAAGTTCTCTTTGTGTTGAACTAAAGAGAGAGGATTGAGTGTAGTCTTCTTCCTCTCCGAGTGTCAGGATACTCACTGTAGTGTGTGTGGTCTTGATACTCGTCTTTCAATACGAAGACGCTATGTTCGCCACACATTTTTTACAACAAAAACTTTGAGATAAAGAATCGGGTACTACCTGTAGGGGTTACTATCCGAGGACCTATCTCGCCCCAAAAACAATCTCAACCAATCAAACATGATACCTTGCCTCGCATGGCGAAAACCAACCTTTCAAACAGGATATGTTACGTCCGTTCTACCGCAAACAGGTACGCATAAGTCTCCTCACATGCGAGCAGCAAAACACCTAAACTGCTAGAACGCGCACGATAACATCATCCCCAAACACACCGGTTATCCGCACCGTAGGCACGAACTACGTTGCTCTGATTTCTCATGCATAATGGGAATACGTAGGCATAGGATTGCGATATCCTAGCGAGCACCCTTTTTTCTTTTTCACCCTTTCCCAGAAAGGCATGCTACGTCCGTTCTACCGCAAACAGGTAACGCCTAAGTCTCCAACGAGCGAGCAGCAATACACCTAACTGCTAGAATGCGCACGATAGCAGCGTCTACCAAGACTTCCCCGCAAACCGTAGGCCGAACTACGGCTGCTCTGATTCTTTACTTTTTCAAGTAAAGATACGTAGGCACAAGGGCCACAATCCTTGCCGAGCACATTCCCCCCTATATCTGTGGTTCCCCGAACTACGTCGACTCTGACTTTCTCACATCTATTGAGAATACGTAGGCATAGGACTGCGAAGTCCTACCGAGTCTGTTCTTTCTCTTTTCTTCCCTGTTCTCTCTTCCCTCCTAACTTTCCTATTTCTAATCCTTCTTTTACCCAGTGAAACACTCTATATAGCATAATGTTTAAGCAAATAAATTCACACATCGACAAACAAAAGGTTCCCATCGAGTACGATGGATGCGAGGGGTGCTAATACCTTCCCCTCGCATAACCGGCTTCCGAACCCGTTCTTGGTCGCGAGACCATCTTATCCTTTTCTTTCTTAAGGTTTTCTCGATATTTTCCTTTCCCCTCATGGGATAAATAAAGTTCGGTGGCGACTCTTCTGTCTATCTTTTTCGCCTTCCCGTCGTTGCGCGATGCATTTTTCGAGTAGCGACAGCTGGCGACTCTGCTGGGGAACCCTAGCGAGCCAAGCCTATTTTGTTTGTCGTGTTTATGATTTTATTTGCTTTATTTGCTTATGCTTTGATTCTCTAACCTGTTGGGTTTATTGGATGGTTTGTGAGATAAAGCTTTCTACCCGAGCTTTCGAGTATACACTAAGATTAGGAGGTGGTTTCTTTCTGATTTGCGAGACTTAGGACTCGTTGAGTTGGATCGAATTCCACCGCTCAGATGAGACCCTGTTGGGATGATTATGTCTTACGTGTAGTCGTAATGACGTCTTTATTTCCGACGTGGGAATCCGTGACTCTGAGGACCTTTTATAGAACCTTATTCCGAAGGTTGCTAAAACATAACTCTGTGTTCATCCTTTGAAAGGATTACCGTCTTACGAGTAGTCGTTCTGATGGAAAACTTTTGAGGGTTAGTGCATGGGACTTTGTTTTAAAGCCTTTGGGATACCCTCTTATAAACCAATAGATTGCCCACCCAAGGGAGAGATACCTTTTTGTTGTCTTGCAGGATTTGTAACTTTAATCCTTGATGTGGATTTGTTCTCGTGTGCACTCATTGCATTGCATTGTATAAGCATATCTGCGTCATTTTGCATTTTCCTCCTTAACCAGTGCCAAGAGCTTACCCATCCTCTATTTATAACCCGCAGTTGATTTCCCGACACTCCTACTGAACTCGTGAAAGCTGTGAAGCATTTGAAGCAATAGGAGCATAGACGCCTTGAAAGGCCAATCAGACAATGCAAACTGAGGTAGCTATGCCAGAGAACGACCGCCAGAATGTTGAGTCCCCACCAGGGTTTACTGTGACGAACAATCCACTGTATGATCTTCCGCCGGATGGCCATCCTCCGCAAGTAAACGTTCCTACTCGACCCCCGAAGATGCCAAAAACTGATCCCATGGAAGAAAAGCTTCACGCCCTTGAGGAGACAATTCAAGCTATGAGAGTGTCTGACATGCCCGACCTCGATGCTGCTGATATGTGTCTAGTGCTAGACTTGGTGATTCCTCCGAGATTCAAGATACCCAACTTCGAGAAGTACACCGGCTTTAGTTGCCCGAGGCGTCATTTGGTGATGTACTGTCGAAAAATGACCCCTTACACTCATGACGATAAGTTGATGATCCACTGTTTTCAAGAAAGTCTGAGTGGAGCATCATTAAGTTGGTACACCGATTTAGTAAGGAGTCATATCCAATCATGGAGGGACCTAGCCAATGCTTTTCTAAAGTTTTACCAGTTTAATCTAGACACTCCTCCCACCCGCATGCAGTTGCAAAGCCTATCTCAAAATGAAAATGAATCTTTTAAGGGATATGCACAGCGGTGGAGAGAATTCGCAGCAAGAGTGCAACCACCACTCTCAGAAAGGGAGCTAATTGACATGTTCATCAACAGTTTGCATGGTTCTTATCTTGAAAGAATGGCTGGTTGTACGCCATCAAACTTCTCTGACCTTGTGATTGTAGGAGAGCGCCTCGAAAGTTACCTCAAAAGTGGACAAATCCAGGACGCATCAGGCAGCCAGGCCAGTGAGATTGAAGCTTTCGATGATTTCCATGAGGAAGAGAAGGATGAAACCAGCGCACTCATAGCAAACGTTGAGTATTCTCACAATGTACCGACAAAACTCTATAGTCCCTCGTCTACTCAACATGCATCATTACCAGTGCCATGTTATCCTCATGGACAACCGGCCATGCCTAAAGCTTCATCCCATAAGCCACGGGTCGCTCCTCATGCAAATCAACGAGCCCATGGCCGAGGTCATCCGAATCAGCGCCGCGATCAGAATAGGCCCAACAACAACTTGGAAAGAAGGACTGCTCCTCTTCATCTGGTCCCTATGTCGCACAGTCAGCTTCTCTCGCATTTGATTCAAAACTCATTGGTGGAGCCTAAAACTCTTAAGCCTGTGCCAGAACCTTACCCTCCTGGGTACAATCCCAATGCTCAGTGTGGATATCATGGAGGATCCATGGGGCACTCGACTGAAGAATGCAAAGCCTTCCAAGCCAAGGTGCAACAACTAATTGACAAAGGGTACATCTCTTTTCCAGAAGGAAGTTTGGTTGTCCATGTCAACCTCTCAGCTGTCTAAACTCGAATATTTCAAGGGTCATTTTCAGAGGCCAGTGGTCTAGACAGGCAGACATCCTCAACATTGGCAGTCCTTGAACGCTTTTATCATTTGCATCTTGTAGTTTATTTCCTGTTAATTGCTACTTGTGTTTAAACATTGTTGTTTTGAATGGTAATATTAATGAAGTGATTATGCATTTTCCGAATCAGTCACGTCGTATTCACTCATTGTTTCCACTTATCACAGACACATACACCTTTCTATTCACTCCACTTTATCACTGTTGTTTTAGCAAAGATTAGAGGGAGGATGACGAAAATGAAATACCCATAATTGCAAATTGTATGCTTTCGGATAAAATCTTGTCAATGATGTACAGGCATTGTTTTAATTCCCCTAAACACCGGAGATATAAGGAGTTAATCCCTAGTCAACCACTTCGAGCCTA